ATTTAGAGGAATAGTGAGCTAAACACATGGTCACTGCCTTTTTTTTTTTTTTTTTTTTTTTTGGAAGCCAGTGATATTGCAGTTCTACTACATCTAAGGAGAAAGTAAGTAGGAGGATTCCTTCTCATGGCACAGAGTGGTTGAAAACCTTCCATTTTTTTTGGAGACTACATTAAAGGCAGTAGGTATCATTACTACTAAAGGCCATTTAATAGTTCTAACTACAGGGAAGGAAAGTTAAGAATGTGATCCTGTCTCACCAGCTAAGAGGCTTAAGGCCAGTGAGCATTAAGTTCCCCAGACTCAGCTTCCCAACCCCTGTCCTACCCACAGCTTCTTAATACAGACATTTACACATCCAAACATTTCTTAGTAGCATAACTGCAAAGCCCTGACCAAGAAATTGTATAAACAATAAAAAAAAAAAAGGACTAAAAGCCTTACCAACAAGTCCTACTCCTTCAAGAGCCAGCCCCAAACCAACCCCCTGACCTTTCTTAGTACTCCAGACACTGCTTTACTGCACTTATCCCCGGGTGAGATTTTATACACCCCTGGTGGTGTAATTGTGAGGGGAGGGAGTGAAATACTCAGGACTGACAGTTCAGGGAATCAGTGAAAAGAAGGCTTTGCTAACCAATAGGAGAATGCAAATCCTTTGAGGACTGCAAAGATTGGGAGTGAGTTATTCCCCAAACGTGATTCCAATTAACCCCACTGGGTCTTTGCTGTCATCCAGCTGAACTCACTTGGAGTCCACAGCCTGGCTAGAAACAGTTGCTAGTTAGGATGGGTAACATTTTCAAAAACACCTGTGTGACTTAAAAAATCATGAATTGTCATTGCCCTTTCCAATGGGAAATGGAAGAGAAATGTTTTTTTTTAAAAAAGGTAGAGAAAAGGGTAAAAAATTGAAACAGAACTTTTCATTTTGTTATGAAAAATCTAAAAACAAAAAACAAAAAAACCCAAACAAATAAAAAATCAGCCAAATATAGACCATCTCTGGTGGTAAGATTGCAGATAGCAATGTGCCTGCTTCACCTGCATGTTGGCCATAGTTTCAAAGTAAAAACTGGCACACTGGAACAAGGAGTGGCATATTAAAGACAGGTAGTTTTTTCCAGTGACTACCATACTAGCCTAGGATTTGAGCTGGGTTCAATTTTAGGCTCTACCACAGACTTCCTGTGTGACCTTGTTCAAGTCACTTAGCCTCTCTGTGCCTCAGTTTCCCCTTTGTACAGTGGGGATAATATGGCTTCCATGCTTCATAGAAGTTTTGTGAGGTGCTCAGATACTCTGGCAATCAGGGCTATATAAATACCTTAGATAGATAGTGAAGCATTTTGTTGGGGAACAAGAGTTAGGTAGGGTAACTGAAAGAACTTGCCCTTCTCCACCTTCATCCCCCTTTCAGAAAAAAGGAAAAGTGTGCCACTTTCTCTTTCAGGGAAGGGTGGGAGAAAATTGTGTTTATTCTTCTGTCACCGCCTTCATTGTTCTCCCTCAGAGTTTGAATTGGAATTGGATTGAATTGGAAAAAAAGTGGTGGTACTGTCCCAAGTCCTGCCCACAATCCAAGCTCTGCCTATATGAGATGCTACTTTAGCAGATTGTGCAGGTGTACAAAACATGAGCACACATGCTCTGCTGGGTTCCCCTTGGGGCTTGAGTCCCTCTCTGTTCAGCTACACCACTGAATATGACCAGATTAAGATGGAAGCACAATAACCACATGCCTGGAACCCAGTCATGTGATTATGTCAATCTCAGCTGTTGTTTAAAAATAAATGTTTCTGCTCCACATGGCTGCAAAGAAAAGCTTGACATTATCCTCTGAATAGAACTGAGACAGTGATCATAGACTACCAGGATTAGAAAGGACCTCAGGAGGTCATCTAGTCCAACCCCCTGCTCAAAGCAGGACCCATTCCCAAACACATTTTTGCCCTAGATTCCTAAATGACCCCCTCAAGGATTAAACTCGAAATCCTGGGTTTAGCAGGCCAATGCTCAAAACACTGAGCTATCCCCCCCCCATAGTGATGCCTGCTTGTGTCTGCCCCCAACCTCCTGCAGAGGGAGAAGCAGCATCCATACCAAGGGAGGTAACTCTTTACCCCCCACTTGGCCCTTGATGTTCTTGGTGTGTGCCCACCCACCTTCCCAGGACTTTGACAGGTAAATGCCTAGCTGGGCTCTGTGGGATTGGTGGCATCTGGACTTTTAGCCCCAACGGTCAGATGTTGGCCATGGGAGTGTAAATAGTTTCCTAATGACATCCACTCTCACCATGAAAATGAGATGCCACCCCAGGTAGATTATGCAGATCTGCAATCCACCCTATCTTTTCTTGCTTACTTTGATCAGCAGTGAAATAGTGAAAAATCTAGACATGTATATCACCATCACTTGTGTTGCCTGCCCAGAACTGGGCCCCGAGATGGCAAACAGGGGTTCGTTGCCCGCTGTGCTTGGCACCAATAAAGACACCGAGGGGAGAAAGAAGAACAGGAGTACTTGTGGCACCTTAGAGACTAACAAATTTATTAGAGCATAAGCTTT